AAGTCTTATAGCCAAGAGGTGACTTCCCAAAATCTCACCTCCTGCTTCACTTCTCATTTCGAAATCTGGACAACACAAATGGTTGGATACAATGGCCAGCTACAATTTCTCCTCTCATTATTTCAATATTAGGTATTTACATAACTCATCTTACTTCCAAAGAGTTACAGGCAGCCTAACAGCCGGAGCACTCTTCTGAGTTCCATTCTCATGGATACATCCAAACATTAGGTGTTTCAGAGTTATGTCTTGCTTCAGCGCTGTTCACACACACTGTGAGCAGAAATGCATTCTCTCTGACCCTCTATCACATCTGCCAGACTTATACACAACAACAGCATGGACTACTTCCTAGAAATGAAGCCTTCCTCTTCATAGAGGGCATGGAGATCCTAGAAAGATTACTGGCAGAAGCCTACTCTAGTTACATCTCACGAAGTGCAAAAGTAGGGGGCATCCGTGCTTCTCCTCCCTTAATTCCTCTTTTGCCCACACTGTGATGGTCAAAAAATAACTCAGCAAAACCACTTCAGCATAAGTCGGGCTTCATGTGACTGAACGTTTCTTCGTGCAAACAGAAATCCACAGAGCAAAGGAGGTGTCTGGAAAAGGCAAGGCATGGTTCCATACTCAGTGGAACAAATTCACCATGAAGATGATGAAGAAGACATGAAGGAGTATTTAATGATGCCTATAAATTGTCCTTTCCTGTTAAACTGAAGTGGGATGGCCCAGCCAGAGGGTGCCCACCTCAGATGACCACAGCCCGGAGTTGTGTGTGAATGAAGCATCCGTTGAACGAAAATGTTAGTACAAGCTTGGTCTTAGTGACTGTAGGGAAAACAACAGAGTCCTCATACACAACGTGGGCAGCTGCTTGTGCTGCTCCCATCTGTGCCCACCTGGACTTCAACAAAGCAGTTGGCTTTTTATTCTCTGTGGCTCCTGCATGGAAATGTTGCATCTATGGTACATCATGAAATTCAAGGGTCTCAGGTGTTCACCTGGAGACAGTATGGATTGAGTCTGGGAGCTTCTGCATGCGAAGCTTGGGCTCTGCTGGTAAGCTTTGGTCCCTTTTCTAAACAGGCCGCAAGGCTGCAACTTAGCTATGACTCCCTGGCACACGTCTACTCCGTGTCTGACCACACACTTCTGTGGCAAACACTGGTGGCCCCAAGCTGGTAAATTCAGTCTGGAAAATCTGTCTGGCTTCGGTAAAAGTAGGTGACAACTTTTAGCAACAACCCTGTTATTGCAACCAAACAAAAAGGCGTATAGCATCATCAACATCAACGAAAAATCATGCCATAGTAAATTGCATTGTTTTTAAAGGGGCTGCAAGTCTATCTGTTGTTTCAGCCTCATGTGTAAGCACGGCATGCAAGCACACTTTCAGTGCAATGGTGCAGAGTATTAAAGAAAAAGGTGCGGGGCTTCAGGCTGCCACTACGACATTAGAACATTCAGCTTGTGGAATGGGAGGGAACCTAAGGCACGCCTGAGTTGTACCAGAAACTGCAGAACACATGTGCCCCTGCAAGGGATCTGTGCACACTCACAACAAGATGGAGCACACCACAGGAGTGCAAGAGCTGGCGCCGCTGCCGTGCCATCCAAATCAAATACATACTGAACCCCGAGCCGTATGCACTGATGTGCAACCCTCCCCCCGTAAAAAAAATCTGGATCTAGTCCCTCCTGTTGGCGATAAAAATAGAGTCAGGGCTCAAGCGAGCAGCAGGGAGACGGTAGTCTTGGTTACCAGTTGCTGAGACACAGCAAACTGCATTTGTGATGCTGGAGGGAGCCAGAGCTTGGGAACCGAAGCAGCACATGCTTTCACATGTTTGGGTCTTCTCCTTTGCCCTAGCCTTCCCCTTCCCCACATATACCCTGGCCCCCCAAAAACGGCCAAGCATGGATCTGAGCAAGAAAAAATGTGCACACCCCCGACACACAGTCTTTCATCACCTGCTCAACACCCTGTCCGTGTAAGTGGCCAGCAAGTGCAAAGCCTGAACCAGAATTCCTGAAAAGTTTGTCCAGGCAAAAGCCACACACAGTTATATCTACCCCAACAAGTTCCACTGTAGGAGTGGAAGACATTATGCACAGGGGTACCCAATGGTGGATACCAGGGCCCCACATTATGGTTTCGTGGCCATACCAGAATGTTTGTGAAAGCATTCACTAGGCTAGGGGAGAGCAAGGAAATGATAGGTCTTCCAGGTCCCGTTTCTTGCACTACTAATTTACACATTCTCATATAATGATCCTGATGCCTTGCATTCAGATGGAGTAAATCATGCGCAAAGAGGTATCTAGGCTGCTGTCCACCTGGGTGCTCACATGGATACCTACAATGATGCTGACAGATATTCAATTGTTATCTATTTTCCACACTCGGAACTTATTCCCATATCCGCATGCTCAGTTTGCAAAATGTCTTGCAAAACTTGAACCCACGCGCCACCATGACATGCACTTGCCCGCATGTGGAGGCATGGGAATGGCCCTGATGTCTAATAAGAAGTAACCGCTGAAATAATCTGCTGGTCACGGCTTTGTGATAGTTGGTTCAACCCAGATTTTTCAAAGCAAAGGGCTGGAGGATGAAAGAGTTAAGATCTATGAGGGAAATTGAGGGAAGGTCCTGGGAGTGGTCTCTCCAAAACACCCACCCACTGTATGCACGCGTGCCCACTCTGCACATGAACATACGAAGTCCATAGCTTTTCACTATGCAGCAAAATCATGATCTAAAATGGCAATCTTTCCAAATATTTGTGTGGAGGAGAATTTACCTGGCGGGTCTGCACTGGACACAACAAAGCAGGATCGGAAACGAGACAACAGACATTCCTAGGCTAACCCCAAACATACCTCAGTAGTGGCACACAGATGGTAGCACAAAGAAAGAAAACTAAACCACCTCCCTTCCAGCATACAAATGCTTCACACCCTGGAAAATTCACCACAGATGAGTAGCTACTTACAAACCATCGAAATGACCCTGTCATGCTCACAGCCATTCATCTATCAAAGGGCTGCTGGAATCGCCTAAACAGAATTTTGAAAAATAATCTCAAGCTGACCAAAACACGTGCTTAAGAACAAATGGATTCAAGGTCCTGGTTCCATCCTACATTGACACCTTGGCTCCACAGCTTCAGACAGGAGAACCTACTTCCTTCAGTGGCAACTAGTATTTTTATTTTTTTTATGAATTTGCAAATCTACACTGGGTTTGCCCAGATGACCCAAGCAACCTGAATACAGCCTACAATGGAAATATGAACACACACACAGGATACCTAGTCTATTTCTCCTGGGTTCATTGCCTTTTGGGACCACCAGCTTGTCTGGAGGGCTACATTCTGCTTGATCGGCTCGTGTGTTGCACAGGCCTGTTCTCTGACTTTGGAACCAAGTGGCTGTACATGAGAAGCCTAATGGGGGAAACCAAACAGAGCATCCCCTGCTAGTTGGAATTATAACGTGCATGTTTTGTATGCTTCCATTTTCAAAAGGAGCAAGGGGAGCGAGTCCCTCTAGTCCTCTTTTCAGCCATGACCCAGAACAGCAAAACTAAAATCCCAAACTCAACCCTAGGAAAACACGGTAGCCTTGGGCCCTTTCCTCTGTTTCTCTCTCCCAACCTCAGATTCTATACTAGAAGCTATAAAAATGGATTATTAAAAACGTGGGCATGTTCCAGCTCAAGTCAAGCTGGATTTCAATAGGAGGCTTAAGCGTGTCCTTAAATTTCTCACACTGAATTGGCAGAGAGAACTTTGTGGTTAGATGATGTGAATGCAAGAGACAAATTCAGTGAGAAAAAGACTATGGGGGGGCTATTTGCCGCATTAACAGGATGGAACCTCCAGCTGCTAGAGCGGCAGGCCGCAGTAAGGCCTTCCAGCTGCATCTGGCTTGCGGCTGCAGTCAACCGGACGTGAGATCAGAGGGATCTTTGGCCTGATGCAGTAGGGCTGTGAAGAGAACAGTGTTACTACCTTAAGTTTAAGTTGTGCTGCAAGCCTAAAATGGGACATAAATACTTAAACCTCCCCTTTTGGGCGTATATACATCCCAGCCTCGCCTGTACCTGCTATCCCATCTCCTATGCTGGTTGCCCAGGGCTGGAGGTGGCCGGGGGGGGGGGGGGGCGGAATCACAACCCCCAAATCAACAGCACTGGCACTGGCACTGCCTCCCGGGAGTGGCAGCACAGAGCCCCTGCTTCTAACCTTTTGGAGAGACATTCCAGGCTCTGATACAAGCCTTTACCATCCTGAATGTGTTTGCCTTCACAACTGCTCTGCACGGCAGCCCACTTTACAAAAGGAGGAAAATGGATTCACCAGGATTTGCCCAAGATAGCATAGATGCCCAAGACCGGAAAACCTGTTGAAAATCAGGTCTCCCGGCTCTGAACCAAACTCTTCAAACAACTAGGCCGTAATGCAAGTGAGACTCACTCTGTCCACAAAACCGGCTGTGTAACTAAGCCAACAAAGTTACGAGCCTACAAGGAAATTGACTGGCCCATTTTGAGTTGCCAGACGAGGGACAAACACTATGCTGGGCACCGAGAAGGGATCTTCACCACTGGCAGGCGGACTGATTTCTTCATGGAACGAAGAGCAGGGATGGAGCGTTCCATCCTTCGCAAGTACACTCCGTTGCCTCCATTCCCCTCAGGTGACTAGGCAAATGCTTAAATATGTAGCTGCACGGGAGACAGGCTTGGCTTCTTTCAACACAACACAGCCCAAGGAGAAGCCTGATATTACAAAGCCAGAACTGCTCAGAGGACTGGAAACACAGCAGATGCTTGCATCACCACTATTTCCCAGAAAGAAGCAGGCTGCTTGTGCCCTAGGCAGTTGTTTTGTGATACTGAATCAGTATCTTTATTTGGGTTGGGGAGATAAAGGAAATAAGCGCAGACAGGTCAGAAATGTAGCAGAAAGGCAAAACTGAGCCACTCTTACCTGTGCCAGGCCTTCCCATGATGATCTCCTTCTTCGGAGCAGGGTGACTGGTGTACTCGCCGGGGACAATCACAGGCAGGAGGGCGGCTGGAGAGGGGTGAAAGGCGACTGGCTGGAAGGGAGAGGAGACGCTGAAGACGGGAGGGGCCTGCTCGGGGACGGAGACCACGCCGGGCTGGCTGGAAGGCAGAGTCCGGCCCACGTTAATGGGCACCGGCACTTGCAGCTGCGCCTTGCCAGACAGGGGGTGCTCCTTGGAGCCGGCCTTCCCCATCCTGGGGCTGCCCACCCGGCCCTCCAGCGGTTTCTCGGTGAACTTGGAGGGCAGCGGCACGTCTGGATTGCGCACGATGACAGGCGATTCCCTCTGCACGGCCGGCACCCGGCGCACGGTGGGGCTGGGGTCAGAGGTCAGCCCGGCCGGTGGGGGCACCAGCAGGAGCGGGGAGGCCTGCTGGGAGCGCGAGGAGAAGGGCCCAGCTCCCGCGGGGGACACCGCCCGGAAGCCGGCCGGCGTGGATGGGGTAGGCGTGTGGGAGACGGATTCGACTCCGGAGTCAAGGCTGTCGTTCTTGTGGAAGTCGGCTGCCGAGCTCGTGCTGCTGTGGTGGGAGTCCGCTTTCCGCTTGCTGGGGCTCATTGGCACCGTGAAGGTGAGGTTGGTCTGGAAGGTGATGCCCGAGTGGTGGCGTTCCCGGGAGGCGGCGTGGTGCAACATCTCGGGGCTCAGCACGGTGCCCCCGACTCCCTTCGGGGTGCTGGCACTCACATGGCGGCTGCGTGCGGCGGCGGCCCGCTGGATGACCGGCGAGGCGATGGGGCTGAAATTTGCTGGACGGAAGCCAAAGAGCGGCGACGGAGAGGGGGAAGGAGCAGGGGAGAAGGGAGACTGGTTGGACACGGGCGAGAAAGACGGGGTGCCGGAGCGAGAGCTACCCAGGGACACCAGCATGACGGCCGCTTCGCACTCGTCGAACTCGAAGCGCGACAGGTCGGCTGGGGCCATGAGGCGAGGGCGGGAATCGCCCCGAGCGCTGCTGGCCTCGCTGTCCCGCGAGGTGTCGTCCCAGTCGAACTCGGCGCTGCCCTCCCGCAGGCCGCTGGCCCGGCCCTCCGAGAGGCTCTCCATCTCCTTGGTGCGCATGGAGAGGTGGCGTGAGCAGTAGCCCCGCCGCTGGGACTCCTTCATGCAGCCCTCCCGGGAGCAGAGCCGCCTCCACTGCTTCCCATTGAATTTCTTGCGGATGCCATTCGGAGTGCACACCACGTCCCCCTTCTTGTACTTCTGCTGGGCAGCCGTGAGGGGCGTCCGGGAGCGCGAGGAGCCCGGCGTGCTGCATTTCTCCACGGACACGACGCTGCTGCTGCGGCTCCCAGTGGCTTCTGGGCTGAGCAGAGGCGACGGTTGCTCAGGAAGGCGGGGGAAGGCCGGCGACTTGGGCGGCGAGAGGATCTGGGCCGGTACCACGACAGACTTCTCCTCGGCCCGCACGCCGGCGCTGATCTTGGAGACCTCCGCGTCCTCTGGCTGCTTTGGCTCCGGGCACGGCAGGGCCGTGGGTGCCACCTCCTGTTCCGACAGAGGCGGCGGCTTCTCGAGCAGCTTGCCGTCCTCGGGAGGAGCGTCACAGCTCCAGGGAGGGCGCAGGAGGCGCAGGGACGAGCGGGGCACCCAGGCGGAGTCCTTCTGCGCGGCCGCGCCAGGGAGGGGCACGGGGTGGGCGAAGCGCACTTTGTAGGAGCCTGGCTTGGCGCCGAGCTCCACCACGGTGCCTCGGCGGTACGCCGTCTCCGCGGGGTCCAGGCAAGCGCAGACGGGCGTGCCCACGGTCAAGGCGCCCGTTGGGGGCGTGGCGTCCAGGACCACGTCCACAGCCCCCGGGCCGAGCGCCCCTTCGTAGTACTCCGTGACGCGGTCCCCCACAAACTGCACCCCCAAACCCTGTCCTCGGCGGACCTGCTTCACGATGGCGGGCTGAAAGAGCCCCTCGCGCTGGGCCAGGACCCGCTGCGAGCGCAGCTGCCGCAGATCGTACTCGCTGGGGGACGCCCCCCACATCGCCCCCACCCCCTTGTCGTTCTCGTCAGAGGAGTGCTCGCTGGCTGTGTCCGTACTGGAGGAGGGGCAGCGCCGGGATTCCCCTTCGGGGGGCGCTGGGGGGCCCTCGCTGCCATGGGATTCTTCGCCCCCGGGACACTTCCTGCACGGTGTCCGCGACTTAAAAGTGGCTGTCTTGCGGTTCAGTGAGGCTTCTGCCCCACACGGCTCACCCCCTTCGTCCCCCTCACCCTCAGGCAGTTTGTAGGGGTCGTCCTGTGCTCCCGGCAATTCCCGCAGGCCGGGGTCCATCTGTACTTGCATGCGCCGGGCACCCACGAAGGCTTGGCCCTGATCTGCGGCCTCCTCCCCTGCTCCCTCTTTGGCTCTGGGCCCCTCCTCAATGGTGGTCTTGCGCTTCTGAGCTTTGGCCCTGGTGGAAGGTGGGGATCGGCTGCTGCTGCTGCTGCTGCTGCTGCTACTGTTGCTGCTGCTGCTCAGAGAGGAGGAGGAGGAGGAGGCAGCAGCACTGGCAGCCTTCCTCACCTGTTTCATCTTCCCCCCAGGCTGGGCTTGGACTCAGGGAGCTAGAAGACAAAGGCAGAAAGGAGAGTCATGGGCCAAGCTTGGGCTCCTTCTGGCAAACGGGAGCGATGAACCTCAGCCCTGCCCTGACATTTTCCCTCTCCCTTTAGCCGAGATTTCTTTTGTTTTAAGCAGAAGGATGGGGTGTCACAAGGGCATGGGACTGGGACTCAGGGATCTGGGTTCCCTTCCCCGATCAGCCAGGGAGCCCACTCAGGCCCTTCACAGACTCTCAGCCCAACCTACCTCACAGGGCTGTTGTTGTGGGATTAAGAGTGAGAGCAGCAGGAGGAGAGTGATGTAAGCCACTCTGAGTGCTTTGTAGGAAAAAAGCAAGATATATATCCAATAAATAAATAAAGGTCTAGGATCAGCTTTCCATGGGCTACGGGAAGAAGTATCTGTGCACTAGCGAAGAATCGACAAGGGAAAGGTCATTGGAGTATAAATCGCCCATCAGGGCAGTCAGAGTAACACCCGGCCTTGCTGGAACCAACAAAGGGGTCCCTTTCACTCGAACCTAGCCAAGCTGGGAATGCCGGGAGCTGCATTCCCACACAGCCGCAGGTCGTCCAGTTTGGAAACAGGGATTCAGACGACAGGCTCAGAAAGTGGCAAGCAAAGCACCGTGTGTAGCTGAAAGACTGTGCCCCCAGGATTCTAAACATTAGACCCCTGCCTCATATTAATATGGGGAGGGGGAGTCACAGGCCTTTTCCCCTAACCTGAGGCCAGGGGCAGGTATCCCTGATACTGGGTGTTATACTGAAAGCCGAAAGAGCGAGCAGCCAATTGCCTATTTCAACATTAGGTGGCCCAATAAAAGGCATGCCCATACTTGTTTAACCAAACATCTTCTCAAGACTTTGGTCACATGATCCTGTGGGATGGGGCAGACCCTACCGAACCTCTCATCTGCTGCAGTTAACCAGCATTTGGGGGGAGTTACCTCCTTGGGCATGACCGCTCTCTCCCCCGCCCCTCCAGAGTAGGGGAAGGATGAAGAACCAAGGACTGCCGGGATGCCTCCCGAGGAATCCTCCCAAGTTCCCATCTCACGGCTGCCTGAAGATGGGAGGAGGGTGCAAAGGAATGTTGATACGGATCTAACCCATCTGCTAACTTAGCCAAGCAGGGACTGCAGCCAAATTTTCTCCTCTTCCCCCCACCCCACCAGAAAGGGAAGGACAACAAGCTTCCTGGAAAAACAGACCAGAACTAAGCCATCTCAAGGACTGACTCTACAACCGACTTAGTGTTATTACTCTGAATTTCCTGCTCCACTTCCATATGTCAACTTTCTTAGCAGAGATTGCTGCAGGATCTTTGCAGCTGCATCGCTTGCTTTTTATTCCAACCCTCTATCGTTTTCAGCATCTCCCACCTTTCCCTAGATCCCCGTGCCTCGTGTCCAAAATGAACTGCCCTTCGAAGTACTTCCCCCAAAGATGTGAATAGCTGATTATCCAGTGATGCAAGAATGGCACTCTGCATGTACTTAGAGGCATTCTCTCCTATCCATCAGCTGATGTATCCTTGACCTGACCCTGTGTATCCAGAGCATATCCATGCACTCTACCCGATGAGGCCAGGTCCCTTCCCTTCTCGACAGAGCCCTCCTGCCATTCCCCCGCCCCTCCTGCCATAGCAAATGCCTGGGAGGAGTCTTTCTTCAGTCCCTGTCCCTGTTGCACACACACGGATGTGCCAACCTTCCTTGTTCCCCTCCATCTCCACAGCCAATATGATGCTGCCCATAACCGTATTTTCAAAAGGCAGCCCCCTGCACTTGCCATCAGATGACCTTGCTCACCCCAAGTGCTTTCAGAGGCTGCAAAACGGGCCTCTGCTCCCACCAAGTTCTCCCCTCCCCCCCCCAGTTCCCAAAGACCTTCCCATATTATGCAACTCCTGCACTCACCAGCTCAGCCCCCACACACACACACACACCTCCTGTCCCGCCACCCGCACAGTGGCCAGGCCTGCCTGCCAATCCCGCGATCCTATAAAGACTGGCACTGGGTCTCAGCCGGGAACCCTGCCTGCTCTCAGCCTCCTGTAAGAGACCACTGCTCTCTCTTGCCCCGACCCTCTGCACTCCTAAGGGAGATGGGGGAAGTTGATCTTTCTCCTTGATCTCCTTTCCAGAGACAGCAAAGGGGGGGCACTGCACTCTTTGCAGAAGGGACCACCAAAAGTTGTGGCCAGTAAGAAGAAGGCAGGAGAGGTGCTGCTTCCCTCCTGCTGTGCAGCCCTCAGGGGCCCATTTTGTGATAGGACGTTTGGCACCTCCTCGGACATTTGCAGTAAAGTAAAGTTGGTTTACCTACTCCTTCCTCCTTCTCCTTTTAAAGGATATGGTGAAGATGTTACCCTTCGAAGATCCTCCTCTTCCCCGCTCCTTGGGGGGGCACTAGAGTTGGTACCTCCCACCCCCTTACCTGAATGACCCCCCTCTTTCCAGGGAGTTTTGTAATGCCGGAAATCTTTCTCCAGGGAATCTTAGTACAGTCCAGCTCCCCCCACCTATCCTCGATGGTCCAGCCCGAGCCCCTCACGGCCCCTCCGAGCCCCTTTTACTCCAACAGACAAAATGGTGAATGAATCTGGACCAGCTGGAACCGCTGTCCAATCAGCACCCACAACTTAGTGACAGATTTTCATAACAGCCAATAGCTTGTCACCAGAAGCTGCACTTTCCCCACCTCCTGAGACAGGCATTGGGCATCGCCTATCAGCATACAAACGGGGCGGCGAGACTAGTGAAAGAATTCCTGCTCCTCCCTGGAGAGGAGCATATACAGTAGCCTGTAAAAAGGTGCATTAGGGAAGAAGTGGGAGAAGCTCAACATACAGTAACCAATAGGGGCGAAGAGGTGGAGCAAGAACACAGACTTGTTTACCTGCCGCTGGACGAACAGGAAGAGCGAGGCTACTCTGAGCCTCATGGGATATGTAGTCCTTCGGAATCCGCTGTCAGTTTATTAATCTGATCAACCCTTACAGAAAAACTTTAATTCCCATGACGCCTCGCGCCACAGAACTGAGACAGGAAGGGAGACAATACTTTACGGGACTTGTAGTTCTTCTTACTATGCTCTTTCTGCGGATGGTCAAACCATGGAAGGGAAAGACACCAACTCCCATCCTGCCTTGTGGGAATTGCCTTAATGTCTTAAAAATGTTGAGCGCGCAAGGTCTGATGGCCGTCGTAGTCTTGACTTCTACAAAGTGTTATTTCAAAAAACCCAGGAAGTTCTAATGGAAAGATCCACAACTCCCAGAATCCACTGCGACCATTTCTCAGGGCGGTGGGGGATGCCGGATACCTCTTGCCAGCGATAGTCTATAGGATCGACACTCGCCATAGGAAAAGCTGAAGAAGGCGACGGTAAAAGACTAGGGCACCCATCATGCTTTGGGGCAACTGAGCGTTCTAAGAAGGAAAGCTCAACGCACGGAGTCATGGGATTTGTAGTCTATAGAAGCGACCCGCCTTCTGGGAGATCCTCGGGAGTTCGCCGGGAAAGACTACAACTCCCATCAAGCTCCACTAGTTGCTTCTAGTCCATCCCCTCCCCCGCAAAGGGCTGCAAAGTACAACTCCTGAGGTGAGGAGGGGGTGGACTTCGTTCCCATCCCAAGTCTCCTCACCAGAAGGTCTATTTGAATGTAATTTGCATGTCATTAGCATAATCATTAACTCACCCGTGGTCCGTTCTTGGCCTCCTCTCGCCCCGGCCGGGCCCCTCGCGCTTCCCCTCAGCAACAGCGGAGCCGCCGCCGACAGCGCCGCGGCCAATCAGCGTCTTGACCGGGATCCCCTTCCCCACGTGGGGCTGCAGAGGCGGGACCGACAACAGCCAATCTAGGCCTGGGGTGGCCGAGGAATGAGGTCACCATGGTGAGTTTGCATTGGCCGGTGCCGCCAGAGTTCAGAACCAATCAGAAGGCGCTTTCCGCCGGACAGGAACAGGCGAGAAGTGGAGTTGTGTCTTTGGGAACGTGGAGAGGCGACTTCCCGCGCAGACACGCAGTCCGTTCCCCGCACCCACGCTCCGCCCTTGGGCTCTCAGTCGCGAACAGTGCCGCGTCCCGTCTTTTGCACCAGCATCAACTTGCGCAGACAGTGCAATGTAGGTTCGCGCCAGCAGGAGGGTAGGCGATGCAACTTGGCCATGTTACCGTGCCCTTCGCCCCCACCCGCCTTGGCGTTCCTCTCCGAACAGTTACCCGGAGCGTGATGCGGACAAATGAGCCGCGTGTGCAGAGAGATTGCACGTAGGCCTTCGATGTATGTAAGACAATCCCAGCCAATTGGGGTTTGCAGCGTAATTCCTGACAGAACGATGATACACGCCTGTAAATTACCCCACGGACGCCTTGGCTGCGTGGTATTTAACTTGCATAACATGTCTGGGCGTGCGTAACTGCCGATTAGTGGCCTGCGATTGCAGGTAGAATAGGACAGTTAGTCCCGCGTGTGTAAAATTGCTTTCTTTACAGCCTAAAACCCCGCTTGATGTGGGCAAAGCAGTGGTCTTGTTTTTTCCACGTAAATATAACAATGAGTGAAGCCCCATCCACCCTCGCTGACCCAGAATTTAGAAGGGTGTTCCCCAAATGCAGCCATGGCACCCCAAAAGTGCAGAGGGGTGCGGGGATGTCATCTGCACATAGCCGTTTTCGAAAAAGCACTTTCAGATGTTGGGATTGAGGCCTCTCTCCCAGTGCCTATCTCTAAATAGCCAATGGCCTTGTTGCTGGGGAATTATGGGGGCTGTAGTCCAACTGACTGGTGGACCCCAGATTGAGAAAGGCTGTGTAGTTAAAACATGGGTGATGCTTTCTGGTGCCACTTCCTTTCTTTAAAGATACAACGTTTTGGATATGTGCATTCTGCCCTCAGTGCCATGTGTGGTCCTTTGCTCAGGAAGCATCCCAAGCACCCAAAAGCTTGAACATGTACAAACATATTTTGCTCTGTTTCGATTTGCTTTGGCTCCAAACACCCTTTGGAGCAACCAAAAGTTTTATAAGGTGGGGGGAGGAACCAAAAGTTTTATAAGGTTGGAAAGTCTGCAGCTTTTTCAAAGAAGCAGTGAAAAAGAGCACATAGTATCCCCTTTGGTCTGGCATGTTTGTATGACAGTTTAGCCCCACCCACTTCTGGAATCCCCTCCACCACTCAGAGCATCTCCAAAACTGAATTGTATGCTTGGGTTCAAAGAGGCTTCACAGCTCTCCACAATGAACCGTAATTTGTAGCCTTCTCATCACATCCATAACATGCAAACCAGCCAACAGCCTTAAGTTTAAGGAGCTCCCTGCTCTGGATTGAAATGAACCACTTTTGGGGAAACGGTAAAGAGCATACCTGCACTGCAAGTGTATCAGCCATGGCATCCCACAAAGGATCTTAAGAATTGGAGATCAGCAAGGACAAGGCTAATCCAGTCTGAGATCCTGCACCACCATCTCCCTGTTCACAACTACAAACCTGTTCACAAGTGCTGGTGTTTGCCCTTTCACTGCAATCCATTGGGCTTGCAAGCAGATGAATTTGAGCGTCGATTCTCATTTGGCTGAAAAGTCACCCTCAGCTGACTGCAAAGCCACATTTATTTATTATTTATTTACTTTCCGATTTCTATCCTGCCTTTTTCCTACAAAGGGCTCAAGGCAGCTTACATCTCCTCCTCCATCTTATCCCCACAACAACAACCCTGTGAGGTAGGTTGGGCTGAGAGTCTGTGACTGGCCCAAAGCCACCCACTTGGCTCCATGGCTGAACAGGGACTAGAACCCAGGTCATCTGAGTCCCAGTCCCACGCTCTTAACCACTATACCACACTGGCTCTCTAGGAGCTTCCGCAGCCTAAACAACCTAATCTTCATAGCAACCTGGTTTGAACACCTTGGTACGGCCGTGGTGGAAGACGTCTTGATTGCCCTGGGCAGAATGCATTCACACAGCAGAATGCCCCCATTCTGGAAGTCAGTATTTAACTAGCTGTTCTTCTATTGAAGGGTTGGGCTATGCTTTTCTAGAAGAACTGACTGTTTGGGAGATGATAACATCTCAGTGCAGAAAGACATCGGATGTCGCTTTATGCTGAGTGAGATCAGAGTTCCATTCATCTCAGTATTGTCTACACTGGAGTAGGAAATCAGTGAATGGTGTTTAATGCAGCTAGTATTGAAATGTTTCAGGAGCGTAGTGAGCTGGGTTTTCTTGCTACGTATGGTACCCCAGCTCCAAAAGTCCAGTGATCTGTCTGGTGATGTGTGGAATGCATCACATGAAAACATCCGTAAAAACATGCAAGAGAAGGTGAGAGAAACAACATGACTTCAGCACAGCTTCTTCACAGCTGACAAAAGTCAGATCTGAACATTTTTATGTAGTAATTGGTTTACTAATACAATTCCAACCCGTCCTTCTAGTAAACAACAAACACATGCTGGCTTATAAGAAATAAATCTTATAAACAGGTGCTAGTCAACATGGCATAAAATAATATCAACAGATTCAGCTTGCAGAGATGATGCACAGTACACCTCCTGATTGATCCATGTGGAGAGTTAGTAACTTTGCGAGCAGAAGGAATTAATCCAGGCAGCCAAAAAGAGGCGGCTTCGGCATCAATGCACCACACCTGAACTGATGCTGACCTTGATAGTTTCCTGGGAAATCTGATTGGGAAGGTTGATTCCATGCCAGGGTTGGCCAGCAACATTCTGGGGAAATGCCCATGCAGGGCCATGGCATAGGCCTTACTCCCTCACCCCGATGCATCCAAACATAAAAAGTCTACTTGCCTGAGGCCTACCTGCCCCAACATAGCACCCTCCAGATGTTTTGGTCGACCACTTTCCTAATTTCCAGCCAAAATGGTGATTATGAGTACAGAGTACTGGTTAGACCAGGCACCAGAGGCCTGGAATCTTGTTGCTCGAAAACTCACTCACTGACTTTGGATCAGTCTTTGGTTCTCAGGTTAATGTACTCACAGGCTTCTTGTGAGGATCAAACGGAAGGAGGAAGGCTTTGTAACTTGCCTTGATGCTTGCAAGATGAAAAAATGGGATATAAATACGAGAATATATTAAACAAATGTTAAACACACATCTAGAGGGCCATGGTTGACTTCCAGAGCATTTCAGGGGTGAGCGGAAATAGCTGCTTCCTAGAACTGCTGGTACCACAATATAAATTTCCTGGGATTTTCTTTGAGCCTCACAAGGTTAGTAGGCATCAGAAAGCATGTTGCTTGCAGCTCGTGATACTGCCATCACACCTCGGCCCTCATTTACTGATTTATTAGATTTCTATCTTGCATTTTCCCAATGAACTCAAAATGGCTTACATCATTCGTGTCATTTTGCTTTCAGTCTTATTGCCACAACAACCCTTTGAGGTAGGCTGGGCTGATAGTGACTGGCTTCCAGTATGAGGATGCTGAATGTCCTAACACTGGGTATTTAAATAAAAATATAATAATCCAGAGATACTCCAACCTATCCCCCCACTCGAGCACCAAATGGTGCTGGAACCCAGGGTGGGGAACGGGTTCAGCACTTGGGTTTGTTGCTGTAAGATTTGGGGGAACCTAAACAAGGAAGCAGTGCAACAGGCAAGTGCAGAGTTTTCTTAGGTTGCACCCTGATCTTGGATACTCCGTGCAAGGTGGGGTCTTTGCTTCTCTTGGAGCCCTTTCAAACACCCAACCCTACGATTCCTTGCCGTCAGTCCCACGGCCCCCGCAAGCACCGTTCCCAAAGGAACAGTTGTGACATGCCGAATATAACCTCTCTCATAGAAGTTAGTCCCCATAATACCACTTAGGGTAATAAAACAATGTTCTGCTGGAAAAGAATGTGCCTGAACATGTGAAAAGTATATTTTCCCTTCTCTTTGCATAATTATAGTCTGACTTCCATGTAACGATCTGTGGTTAGGGACTGAACTTCAAGATAGGTGAGAGTTCCTGCATTAACAAACTAAACATTATGTGTTGCTCCAGAATATTGGAGCCTGGAATCTTTTTCCACCTAGCTGATGGTGATACTTGGTAGTGAAGCATTCTGTTGGGAATATTGCAGGGATTCTAGTAAACAAGGGGAAAGAAATTGCGAGTTATTTGGCGGCTTTGAGAAATACAAGGCAGGTAAAGCAAGATGCCTTTCTAGTAGTGTTAGAATATACAAGCTTCTGACTTGCACAGACCTTTTAATTGAGCAGAACACACCTAATTCTCAACTATGTAACAAGCCAAGTGCATTACCAAAGCAAATATTTGTCACCTCAAAGACAGACCTGATCACAGCTTGTTTTTTTCCATTTCATAAACTGTTGTAATGACCCCACAAGCCCTGGTCTCTAGGACTGAATTCCATTCGGTATGATAAAAAGATTCTTGTGAAGCTCAAAAGCACGTGTATTTCCACATGCACAAAACTGGCCCAAGTTACATGAGGGAAAGGGTACTCTGCACACGCTCAGAGAGAAAGAGTCCTGATGCTGAAAATAAGAGCAGGGAGAGTCCCTAAACCATAATGGCCTTCGAGTCAAATCGAGTGTTTCTTTCAAGGGACACTGTGGAAAGACTGTACATGTGAAGTCTGGATTATTTATCTATTTGTTTAATTTAATTTAGGACCCAACTCACCCCAAACAGCACTTCTGGCTGGAGGGACGGCCAGGAGCTGTAGGATATTTTTCTATCTAAACGTGTGTAGGGGTGGCAAGACAAGGGATTTCAAGCATCCTTCCCAAGTTCTGTATGTCAACATTAGAAGCCGATGCCCTTTAAATGAAGGGGACCTCTCTCATTTTCTTAAAAAAAATAGAAGGAATTCACCATGATACTTTAGTGGAGTTATTCATAGTACTGCATGTATATCCCACCCTTTTCTCTGCAAGGTACCCAGGCAGGCTCCCATCCTCCTTGCTTCTCTCCATTTTACCCTCACAGCAAGCAGGACAGGCTGATCCTGAAGTTGCCCATGTTGCTTCAAGGCTGATGGAAAGTAAAACCTGAGTCCCAGCCCCAGGAATTATCTTTCGCCAAAGTGCCCTAGAAGCGTAAATAATAATAAAGGGGTACATGAAGTGTGCCTCTGAGCAGGCACAGAAGGTATTTAGTCTAACCACTACTAAACTCCGCAGTTGAATTCCTCCTCGGAGGTGCAGAGACACCAACCTGTTAACTCGGGGATGTAGTGTTGTTTTTATTTTGCATTGTAGTTAAGGACACTTCCATACCTGTTCCTTCTGGGATTGATTTTTGCCAGCCCTCAAGGGCCTCTTCTCTGCGTTTCTTTGTTCTGGGCATGCCTTCGGACTGTGTGAGATCCCAGCAGCAAGGACTCACAGAGAGACACGACGGACAGCCTCCTTTTGAGGACGCGTCCCTGTTTGGCTCTTCGTCTCAGGAGTGACTGAACCACTGCCAACGTCGGGAAGGGGCACCTTCCCAATGAATGAGGGGCTGCTTAACACAGCAGGCAGCAGCGGCAGCCACGGAGCGTCATCCAGAGACGCGGCGAAAGGCCTCTTCGCCCAGCCAGCTTGCCTTCCCGGGTGGACTGCGTGATCGCAGCCGGCGGCCGCCGCAGAGCCGCGCCACGTGGGGAAGCGCGACCCGTGGCCAGCGAGAGCGGCTCGCCGTGCCCCGCGGCGGCCCGGTGAGTTTGCAACGGCCAGCAGGGGGCGCTGCAGAGCAAGGGCGCCGGCCCGGCGCGCGTCCGCGCCCGCGCTCGGGCCGAGGGAAGGGGAAGGCGGCGGCGGCGGCGGCGGCGCGGCGGGGCGGCCTGGAGCCGTGTGTGGTTGTGCGTGCGTGCGTGCGAATGGCCGTGCGGGCCCGTGCTTGCGTCTCCCGCGCCTCTCGCCCCGGGCAGGGCAGGGCAGGGCAGGGCAAGAGGGCGATGCCAGCTGGCAGGCACCTCGGGGCGGGGAGGCGGCGGCGGCGGCGGCGGCGGCGGCGGCAGGAACAGCAGCAAAGACTTCACAGCAGCTGTTTTTAGTGCCTGCTGCTAATTCAGCCGCAGGAACAAACTTTTCCTTTTGCCTGCCGCTGCTATTTCGGCAATGGGGCAGTCACAAGGCGCCCGGCCTTCCCTGCTAAGTTTAATCCTCCTTTACTCCTTCTTTTCCTCCTTCTCTTCTTCCTAAGTCGACCCCGCCCTGAAGCTAAATATATACTCGCTTCTCTCGCTCTCCCAGGCTCCGGACCCTTCCCTTCGGCCGGCTCCCTGAGTTGACTTCTGGAGCTCGCCGAAAGTAGCGGGGACGAGATTTCCGATCTATGGGGTCGCCCTGAAAAAGCGAGCCCTCCTTTGCTCACGACCCCTGTCTCTTTGCTCTGTAAGTGCCTTTATTCTCTCTTTTCTCTCCCCACAACCGCCTCTCCCTCCCCTCCGTGCCTGGAGTGTGTATGTATGTGTCAGAATATTTCGCATATCCGACAACACCGCATGCCCCCGTTCTTGGCTTTTTTCCCTTTAGTGGCACTTAGTTGGGAGTAGTTGGAAAGGTAGGGAACGGCGGGCCTGGGAACAGGTAGAAATCTCTCCGGCTTGGTGTGCTTCTTGCGGGGAGCTGTGCGCCTGCTCCCCGTTCCCGAAGTGGCGTGAAATCTAAGGACGTTTCAGTAAACGATGCTAAGAGAGGATTAAAAGGAAAAGCCTGGAATCTTGTAAAAACTGCAGCTTGAAACTGGAAGGGTGACATTAAAATTGCATTCTAATCGGTGTCACTTTTTCATGTGTTTTGTTTTTTCCTTTTTCACATAGGGTCCTGAAAAGTATATATAAACCTCTTCCTGTCTCAATCCCTCTTTGGGCCATAGGAGGATGTAGGACAGAAAATGTAAGGGAGCCATTTTAAACCTGGGTATAGGTTGCCGGCTAATAGTAGTTTTACAGTGTGCTTAGCAAACCGGTTTTAGTCTAAACTAAACCTCTTAAGTAGTAACCCTGGGGGGGAAAGCGGGTGTGGGGGTGAATAATGCTTATATAGCTGCCCTTTTAAAGGTGAGAGCCTGGAATCCTGGCCCCTGCTTAATGTGGCTGAATGGGAGCGAGGTTTATTTAGCTAGGCACTATGGCTGGACCACACACCCACATTAGCCTTCCGACAAGCATTAAGGTAGGATGGATTGAGTAATGATAACTTAACAGAGGGCCACTCTGCCTGAGCCCTGTTAGATGGAATCCACTAACCTCAATGAGATTCCCTTCCGACAACATACAGAGTCTCTGTCCCCAGTTTGTTGGTCTGCCTCAGTTTCCCCAACCAAACTAGCAGGGCATTATTGCTATGTTAGGACCTTGGGACTCGTGAGCATCTGGGGGAACGTTAGGGTGTGTGCAGTGATATTTCCTAAACATCTGAAAAGGTGCTGAAAGACAGACTATGACAGTCCTGATGGTTTGTGTGTTAAAAAGAGACACTGGAGTGGATATGTGGGAAAAGCGGAAGTATCGTGAGAGTGATTGTAAGCTCCTTGGTGCGGAGAACTGACGTGGTGTGCCCTACACCACACTGGCCAAGTGACCAAACGGGAAGCCGGTGTGGTGTAGCATTTAGCGTATTGGGCAAGGACTCAGGAGATCTGGACTCTAAACTGGAAGACTTTGGGCCATTTGCTGACCCAGCCTGACCTACTTCACAGGGTTATTGTGTGGATAAAATAAAATGGGGGAAGACTGTACGTTGCTTTGGGTTCCTTGCAAGAGGGAAAAATTAGGCTATAAATGTAATCCTCACAATGGTAATAACTGTACTGATGGATTTTTGGGCCGTGGGAGGAGATCTTAATCTTTACTATCGTTCAGTTCCAAACCCTGAGAATCCATTCTGGAATATCTCAAGAGTGCTTCTGAGCATAAGTGGTTTGCTTTGCTCTGAAAATGAAGTTACCATGGGCAACCCAAACACATCTGGGATTAGGGGGCAAGGCTACTGGGTCAGGGGGGCAGTCTTAAAGCTCGGATTGACATACCTCTCTTTAAAAATTAACCTCTGGCAACCAGGACCTACGATTGTGCAAGCTTTCCCTCTCCCCGCTTCTTTTTCCCTCCCTGCAGTGGGATATAGTTCAGCTCCATTATTTCCCATAGAGTTTAAACAAAAAGGATGCGGTTTGTGCTGCGAAACTTGGACTGGGGGACCGAGGTAATAGAGGGATCCGGTGCCTGGGTTTGCCAACCTATTTGTCAGTCTGGCAGAGGGACAGCCAATAAGTTGGAGAGGAAGGGGTGTAAATTAGGAAGCCCGGCTTAAGGGGGGCGGGGGTGCTGGCCTTCAGTCCTGTAATACTCCAGCCCAGCCACAAACTTCCCACCCGATAATTATAGAGAGAATAATGCTGCATTATTTATAACGCTGACTATTTATAACCAGGGCCCAGAAAATGTGGCACCAGACCTGCGCCGCCGCCGCCGCCGCCGCCGCCGGGCTTGTGACCCGCTCCACCCACCCTTCGCACAGGCCCAAGGACAGTGCTGGGCGAAAAACGTGAGGGACCGGGCCAGAACTGGGGCTGCAGAGGGGATCCCTGTGCCCGGCACTCATGCTCTGAGCGGAGGATTTGTGCTGGGGGCGGAGGTGGAGCTGGGAGTCGCTAGGGGCTTCCGACCTCCCCCTCCCATCTCCGGTCCTGGTGCAGCCTCCCCCTTCCCCACCCCTTTTCATTCCATTCCCCCCGAGCTGTCACTTTTCATGCCTGGGGAGATTGTTCCCATATTTTGGCCTGGTTCCCCCAGTAGCCTGGTCGCCAGGGGTCAGCGGCAGGGGTCAGGACCGGAAAATTCCCACATGTCTCTTTAAACAGGTGCCAAATCTCAAGCTTAGGTTAACCCTTTGCATCCTGGGGCATAGTGGGAGCATTCCTCCTTCCACTAGCCTTTCTCTGGATCCGCACGCTCTGTGAATCCTGCTAGCAGAGGTACCGTTTCATTTTCTTTGTCTGTATTAAACTGCAAGCACACTTGACTCCTGCAGCCCAAATTATTTACTTACATTTATTGGCCATATGCCGCTTAGTATTGTACTCTTGCTAAATGGTTCATCCTAAAATGCAGATAGATGAAGACGATAAAATGAAAATAATGAAAAAATTAGAGCAAAGAGAACAGAGCTGTCTCATGAGCTGTTATAGGTGAGGAAAACTCTTGAGCAGATACATTTTCAAGAGGCATTTGAAGCTTCCCACAGTTTGTGCCTTTCAAACCACCGATGGGAGATTATTCCAGGGTGGGGGTGCCGCTACCAAGAAGGCCTGGCTACCCCATGGCAGTGTGTAAACATTGGACCTCCCGATACAGCCTTCTTGGAAGCTCTCTGAAATTGTCAAGGTGTGTGAATAAGGGGAGGCAGGCCACTACTCTGTGTATCCAGGTCCTAAGTGAGGTGGGTTTTGCCTGTCAGTGACAGAACCTTCAGCACGGCTTGGTGGCTGCTTTTTAGAGTGTATACGGATAGAAATTTCCCATCATCTGATGGACTCTTCCCCTTTCGATCATTTGATTACGCTATTTCCCCTGGACACACCGCTTTGGGAAATGAAGGAAATGGAATGAGTCCTCAGCCGAGCCTCCCTCCCTCACTCCCTGCTTGGAAATTGTGTCAGGCCTTCTACAGATCGCCTGCTCTGCATGTCACAATGAGATCCAGGCAGTGTGTTGTCTGCCAGTAATACTTCTCAGCTGTTGATGTTTTCCTCTTTCTAATAATAATACTTAGCATTTGTGTAGCATTTCAGAGTGCCGTGCATGCATTCACTCAGTCATTACAACAGCCTTGTAAGGTTGGCCATGATCACTTCTTTAGAAACTTTACTCATCCCTATATTGTAGATTAGGGCATGCTGAGAAATAATGGCTGGCCTAGTGAATTGGGATTTAAGCCAGGGATGTCGGGATTCCATGCCGACCTCTTTAATCTAGTCCAGTGTGAAGCAGAAGAGGGTCCAAGACCGTCCTCCCGAGGTGGGCAGAGGGAACAAGGCTCTGGGTGGGATTGCAGTGCTGAGCCGTCCAGATCGGCCGTCACCAAGCAAAGGAGCAGCCTGCAGGTTTAATGTGTTGGGCAAACGCCTCTTGCGACAGGAATAAATACGGGACATGGCAGCTGTGTCCTGAGCTCCCAGATGTGGAAAACATGTAAAAGATGCTTATTGTATGTAATTATCAGACGGCAGAGGCTGCTGCTGCTGCTGCTGTTTATTAAATGAGGATGCTAAGACAGAAGCAGTTGGTTTGGTGTTTTACTGTGCGACCCCCTTGGCACTAGATTAGAAAGAGTCAGTGAGAAAACATAACTCAGAAGGGGTTCAAAGCCCCCTTCCTTGACACATAATCCATGTGCATCTTTAGTGGAACTTCATCTTTTTCTCCGCTCTGGAGCAGGAACCTGGCAGATAGCTCTTCTCATAATATAGAAATGTGTTCCAGGCCACTAAAGGTTCTTAAACGAGTGGGCTTTTTGTTGGGCTTGTGGTGGGGAGGTATCCTCTTCAGACCTGAAACATAACCTGGATTTTTTCTGGTAAAAGGTTCCCCCTTTCTGTGCCCGCATTGTAACCCTCTGTTCTGTTTGCATAGGCGTAGCCTCCGCACCTGTGGAATGTACTGCAGATTTCGGTCTCCAACCAGCAAACGGGATGGCGCGGCGGACTGGGGACAAGGTGTGGTAAGACGCTTGGCTCTCCTCTCATGCCTGTCCAGAAGGCCCCGTTTCCTCTGGTCTGAGCATTCACAGCTCAACTGCCTCTGGGACAGGCTGCCTCTGGTGTTACTAACACCATCATGAATAAAATTAGGAATAATTTGGGCCTGCCTCTGGGCACAAAGGCCTCCCTCGCTTCCACCCATGGTTACGAATCTTCTGATTTCAGTTCCATCCCTAGGGAGTGGCCAGGCCTGAGTTTGACCAGGTCAGGAGGTCCAAGGTTTGGGAGTGGGGGGTGAAGATACACACCTAGACGGAGCACCTCCAAAAGTCAAAAGATCCCCTTCCCCATTCTGAGCTTTCCTCCTTCAGGAGTAAACAGTGGAGGAATAGCTCTCCCGGTTAAAGAGGGGAGAGGGCTGCATCCTTGCCTCAGAGATGGAGTGTTGCATCAGAATACATGTGTGTGTGGTATATATATATATATATAGGTATATATATGCATGCGTGTACACGTGCAAGGCAGACCCAGTGCTGAACTGAAGTCACTTGTGTCTAAATGAGGCAATCGAAAACAAACACCTGTATAATTAGTCCCTTGAGCACTGGCATGTAGCCCAGAGACTTAGAGAAGGCAGAGGGGTCCCTGTGGGGATGGGTTGTGTGAGACACTCCTGTCTGTGTACACACAGTATAGGCACAAGCTTAGTGTACCAATAAAGGCGTTCTATTTTGTTCTGGGAGAACAGAGTTCAAATCCCACCGTTGCCATGGCAGGTCCCGGGGTGCCCGTTGGCTGCTTAAAGGCTGCCTGCACACAGGATAACAAGTTGGGAATCTGTAGAATCTGGGAATGCCATGAATGAGCTTTGTGCTGACACATTCACTCCAACTTGGCCCGTCCTTCTGCATCCAGCAAAAGAAATGAACCTGGCTTGCTTAGCTGGTAGGTTGAACCAATGTTTTTGCTTTGTTGTTTCCAAACAAGCCAGGATCTGTAAGCCAGGAATAAACCCTGAATTAGAATCATGGCTTATACATGGAGCAACAAGTCAGGATGCCAGGTGTCACCTGCAGTATGTTCACAGTAAGCCAGTATTCATCAGAATCTTGGCTTACTGTTCTTTGCAAATGCAGCCATGTTTTTCATACATAACTAACTCATGGAATTCACTGCTACCAAGTTGTGTCAATGGCTGCTAGTGTAGAGGGCTTTTAAAAAAAAACACTCAGATTCCGTGGGTGAGTATCTATGTGAGTAATTGCCAATGAAAATTGCATGGGATGGAAGTTGCTTTTGTGCTATGGGTGTGAGGCTCCTGGCCAGTGTTGGAAAAAGGATGCTGAGATATTTTTTGATGGGTTTTAGGTTCAAGATAGCTGTATACATAAATGCAATAGTATTGTATGTATCAGTAATGTGGACTAGAATAACTAGAGGCCCGTTTGTTTGTATATATGTATGTATGTTTGGAGGGAGGCCTTCTTGGTGGTAGCCCGCAAGGATCGAATGCTCTCCCCAACAAGGCCTGTCTGGTGCTAATATAGTTCTCTTTTTGGTGTCAGACCAAGACATTCCTTTTCTTTAAGGCATTTAGCAACCTATGGTGTGGTTTTAATCAGGTCATGAATTCTTCTTGTTAGCAGTTGTTTAGAAATGGTGTTGGAGGTTCATGTGCATCTGTGTTGTCTCTTTATACATTTGTATGTATATTTTATAATGTATTTTAAGACTCTAATTTTTATTAACTGCCCAGAGAACTTCAGTGATCAAGTAGCATAAAAATGGAATGCGATACAGGGGCCACTGTGCTGTATATGCAGCACATGTATTGTACACTAAACATGCATTTCAGCATCCAGAAAAATCTTGGTTAGTGTGGATGCGTAATACAATGTGTTTAGTATAGATCGGGGTGAGGAGGAGGAGCTGGGACAAGCATAAAAGTTAGTTTTAAAAAGCCACTATAGAACAGTGGATAAAAATGGAAGATTACAATAAATCCCCCAAAAGATGCTTTAGCCCAGCAGTTGTGATACCCTGCTTCAGCCATGAGTTGACCATGTTGCATGTCTTGCTACAAGAAAGTAAAGCAGAAAGGAGCACCGAAAAGAAGAAAAGCAGACCATATGGTCCAGCATCCTCTTTTATGCTCAGACTATGGTTTCACTCTTGTACACACGTTCCTGAGAGCAAGCCCAACTGAATTGAGTGGAATTTATTTACGAGGAGACGTGCATAAGGTTGTGGGTTACCCTCAAATTAATTGGGGTGCTGCCTTTAAGAAAAGCACTTTACAGGAATATTTTGAAGACATTTCCTGTAAAAAAAAGGAAAATGGGACAAATCTGTACAAGAAGATGGAGGAGGAGCATGATGTAAGCTGCCTTGAGCCCTTTGTAGGAAAAAGGCAGGATATAAACCAAGAAATAAATAAATAAACCTGGTTCTCGCATAACAGCAAGCCACATTGGGTGAATTTGGATGAATTTCCCAATGAAGATTTCCATCTTGTATTTTAATAATTCAAGCCACGACGTGGGTGCACTGAACCTGCAGTTATATCCCAACTTGGCCAGTGTGGGTTGTTGGGATGGATCTGAAGGCACTCAGGAGCCATGGCCTCTTTTAGGGTTGTGGTTGACCTGCTTACCGTCCCAACAACCCACCCAAACCAGGTTTGCACATAAAGATAAGCTGCAGCTTGTCCTTGCCAAGTTTTGAATTTTCAAAATGGCAGCTGGCCCAACAGTAAGAAGCCCCGTGGGGGAAAACTCCCAAGGTGGCTTCTTATTAAATGGGAACCAGTTCAAAGAGATGCAAACCTTGCTTATAATAATACTGCAGTAAATAACTATTTAGTTATAAATTACCATGGCTCAGTGATCAGATTTGCATCAGAATTCAAGAAATACATGAAAAGGTTTCTGAGATAAACTTGTTTTGAATTGTTTTGATTTAAATCAATCTACATGGATGGGAACTCATCAAGAAGCTGGAAGATTTAAGTGGCATAGTCTGATGATAGTTTTTCTGCTTTTATATTTTTTATATACATACATAAAGGTGCATCTATCCACAGTGTTGAATACATGGGGGATTTTTGAAAATACAACTTTCTAGCAGTTTTCTATAGGCTTGAACAAAATCAGACCAAATAACTATCCATTTGAAGGTGATTTCTGTATGCCACCTATTTAAATGATGAAAATGTTACAACATTGTTGATCCATTGCATTAGAGGAGTTGTGTATTCAGCCTTCCGGTGTTGCAGAATCAGTCTTTTAGCTGTCAAGAAGGCATGGATCCAAAGTGAATTAAAAGAGAGGGAGAGCACAATCTGGCCATGTCTGCCATAAAGAAATTTCCTTACCACAATTTAGATCTGTTGTTGTTGTTAGCCGCAAAGTTGTGCCCAACCCATCGCAACCCCATGGACAACATTCATAAAGTCAATTTAGCAGTTGAAAATAGATTGAAGGGTAATTGAATTGGATACAGATAGGAAAGAGTGAAATTCAGTACAGGAATTTTTGTTAGAGCAAGCTGCTAAGCCCAAAGCAAGATCCAGAAAAACCAAATCCAGCTTCTTTACTTAGAAGTTGAGTCCTGTTCAGTAATAATCTTTGTGGAAGGGAGCCCCCTCCAAATGTATGAAGCCACACATTGATTTTCTGAAAGTATTTCCCAAGTACAGATCAGGAAACCCATGTATAACAGAAATAGTCCAAGCTACAGTATGCATCTCAAGTGTATTTACCTTAACCCACAAACTCAACTTAAAGATGCCTCTCTATCTTATTCCCAATAAATTTAATTAATCATTCTATTCAAATTAAGTTTAATATTTGAGATCGATACTCTGCAAATAGGTATTCCAAGATGAGTTCTTTGAGCACCATTGAAATTGTCAAACTACTAATACACAAGGAGAGATATATTCAGTATCCGTTTGGATTGGAAACAATTAATTGAATAACCGGACAGATTACCAAACATATGAATCAGGCAGAAACAATGAAGGTTCAAAAATACCCAATGAAAGGTCATTCCATAAAAAATACAATTTTAAATTTGAAAGATTATGCACAAATCTAGGAATGCCACTTTTCTGTCTCACAGCACAAGTCAAGGATTCCAGACGTAAATAAAATATCAAAGAACAAAGTGGATATCCCAAGCTGTTTTTTTTCACATGGGACTAAAAGCTGCCCCCCATTAGTCTGGTGACAAAACCCAAGAGAAAACTATTTTGTGTCAGACTAAACAGTGCAGAATTTTAAGTGTGACTATCCCATTGGCTAACAAAAACATCAGCATTTTCTCTGTAAACATCCTAATTCCATCTGGGATGATCAGTTCTCAAACTATGGCTCACTCGCTCACACAAATGCATTTCTGTGCATGCAACTTGTTTAAATAAATAAAAAAATGTGACTTAAAACGGCAGCTAAAATAAATATTGGAGGCCTTGGCCTGCAATTGTCAGGCAGGTTAAGAACCTGCTAGATTGCACTCTTAATCCCATCCGCCGAACCTCTTGTTTAAACAGAGTGATACGCACATACTTTAGGCACACGGAGACATGTGGCATCTCTCTCCCTTTCATACTGAACTGGAGTGATTGAGTCACGACAGAACTGGAGCCAAAATGGAGCCTCTGGGAATCAAGAGGGAGGTATTTGCCTCTGCAGGTGAGCTCTGCGGTATGCAGAAATGCAATCAATCAATATTTCCAAAAGGGGCATCTCCGTGCAAAACTGTCCGAGGAGAACTAAACATGCTTGGTGTTTTCTCGGAGCTACGGAATGCCGAGTTTCGGTTGGAAGGGAATAGGAAGCTGGGGAATGGGGAGAGTGGATTGGCCCATGTGAGCCTGTCATGTCTGGGGCCGGTGACACAGTTCAGGCTGGAACACAGAGCCAAGATCGGGGCCCCACAGTCCAGGGGCCTCTCGGGAGCACCCAGGGAGCCGAAGCACAAGCCCGTCAACTTTCTCCATCTGTTAAAAGCGG